GCTCTGTTGATGCGAACGGCAGCAACCTGCGCCCTGAAAGAAAGCCTTCTCCAGCAGCAGCAGCAGCAGCAGCAGCAGCAACAGCAGCAGCAGCAGCAGCAGCAGCAGCAGCAACAGCAGCAGCAGCAGCAGCAACAGCAGCAGCAGCAAGAGGAAAACGCCTCTCAGCCCCCCTCTTTCGCCACCAACCAGCAGCAGCAGCATCCCCAGCCGCCCCCCCACCACCCCCAGCAGCAGCAGCAGCAGCAGGAGCAGCAGCAGCAGCAGCAGCAGCAGCATATTTTGCGTATATATCACTTTCGTTCAGCACTAAGCCTGATATATCCATCAGGTTTAAAAGCTGTTGCATGCGAAATACCGAGGGTTTATTGGGAGGAGATAGGTGGATACGAGGAGACAAAGAGACAGCTGCGGGAGTGTATTGAATTTCCTTTTTTATATAAAAAGTTTTTTTCTTTTTTATTTATTTCGCCACCAACAGGTTTACTTCTTTATGGACCACCAGGATGCAGCAAAACTATGCTAGCTAAAGCTGTTGCTACAGAAAGCAAAATGAACTTTATCTCTGTTAAGGTATAAACCCTAAACCCTAAACCCTAAACCCTAGATGCTAAACCCTAGATAGTAAACCCTAAACCCTCGATAGTAAACCCTAAACCCTAGGTAGAAGAGAGCAAAACTATGCTAGCCAAAGCTGTTGCGACAGAAAGCAAAATGAATTTTATCTCCGTTAAGGTATTGTAAACCCTAAACCCTAAACCCTAAACCCTAAACCCTAAACCCTAAACCCTAGATGCTAGATAGTAAACCCTAGGTAGAAGAGAGCAAAACTATGCTTGCTAAAGCTGTTGCTACAGAAAGCAAAATGAATTTTATCTCCGTTAAGGTATTGTAAACCCTAAACCCTAAACCCTAGATGCTAAACCCTAAACCCTAAACCCTAAACCCTAGATGCTAGATAGTAAACCCTAGGTAGAAGAGAGCAAAACTATGCTTGCTAAGGCTGTTGCTACAGAAAGCAAAATGAACTTTATCTCCGTTAAGGTATTGGAAACCCTAAACCCTAAACCCTAAACCCTAAACCCTAGTTAGTAAACCCTAAACCCTAAACCCTAGATAGTAAACCCTAAACCCTAGGTTGTAGAGAGCAAAACTATGCTTGCTAAGGCGGTGGCAACGGAAAGCAAAATGAACTTTATCTCCGTTAAGGTATTGTAAACCCTAAACCCTAAACCCTAAACCCTAAACCCTAGATGCTAAACCCTAGATGCTAAACCCTAGATAGTAAACCCTAAACCCTAGGTAGAAGAGAGCAAAACTATGCTTGCTAAGGCGGTGGCGACGGAAAGCAAAATGAACTTTATCTCGGTTAAGGTATTGTAAACCCTAAACCCTAAACCCTAAACCCTAGATAGTAAACCCTAAACCCTAGATAGTAAACCCTAAACCCTAGATAGTAAACCCTAAACCCTAGGTAGTAAACCCTAAACCCTAGATAGTAAACCCTAAACCCTAGATACTAAACCCTAAACCCTAGATACTAAACCCTAAACCCTAAACCCTAGAAGTTTATCCATTGAAATCAAAGTGAATTGTATTGCTGTTAAAGGGGGGACAGTAGGCTCGCTAAACCCTAAACCCTAAACCCTAAACCCTAGAAGGATATCTTCTGGGGTCTAGGGTTTATACACGCTCTAGGGTTTAGGGTTTAGGGTTTAGGGTTTAGGGTTTGTGTAATGCAGGGGCCTGAGTTGTTCTCTAAATGGGTAGGAGAGTCAGAGAAGGCTATAAGAGATCTATTCAGGTTAGCTGCTGCTGCTTCTTTTTGCTGCTGCTGCTGCTGCTGCTGCTGCTTCTGCTGCTCTTGCTGCTGCTCTTGCTGCTGCTGCTGCTGCTGTTGCTGCTCTTGCTGCTGCTGCTTTTGCTGCTCATGCTTCTGCTCTTTTTGCTGTTCTGGCTGCTGCTCTTGCTGCTGCTGCTCTTGCTGCTGCTCTTTGCTGCTGCTCCTGCTGCTGTTCTTGCTGCTGTCACGCTTTGCTGCTGCTGTTGCTGCTGAAGAACCGTGCGAGTCTGTTGCTGCAACAGCAGAAAGCTACTGCTGCAGCAGCAGGAGACAGTTGCTGCTGCAGCAGCAGGAGACAGTTGCTGCTGCTGCAGCAGGATACAGTTGCTGCTGCAGCATGAGGAGTCACCTGCCACCGCTGCAGCAACAGCACCAGCAGCAGCAGCAGCACCAGCAGCAGCAACTGCACCAGCACCAGCAACAGCACCAGCAGCAGCAGCAGCAGCGACAGCACCAGCACCAGCAACAGCAGCAACAGCAGCAGCAGCAGCAGCAGCAGCAGCAGCAGCAAGTGTGTGTGTTGCTGCATGCAGACGAGCCCGGCAGAATGCTCCCTGCGTAATTTTTTTTGATGAAATTGATGCTTTGGGGGTAGACAGAGAAAAAGGCGATGCTTCAGGTGTACGTACACCTGCTGCTGATGCTGCTGCTGCTGCTGTTGCTGTTGCTGTTGATGTTGCGGTTGCTGCTGCTGTTGCTGTTGCTGCTGTTGTTGCTGCTGCTGCTCCTGCTGCTGGAGCTGCTGCTGTTGCTGCTGCTGTTGCTGCTGCTGTTGCTGCTGCTGTTGCTGTTGCTGTTGCTGCTACTGCTGCTGTTGCTGCTGCTGCTGCTGCTACTGCTGCTACTGCTGCTGCTGCTGCTGCTGTTGCTGCTGCTGCAGGTGGAGACG